ATTTTTTTATTTTTTGCAGTGAATTTATTTTCTTTTTTTTCTGTAGCTTTGGGTGGATTTGGGTTGCTGTTGCAGATATCATAATGGCTTTGTTAGTTGAATTTACCCAAAAAGCCCTTTCAACTTGTTTAATTTGCAAAATGAGACTGATTTCAAGGGACTACTTTATCTCAAAATGACCATAATAACCTTAACATTTCCTGCAAATTAAGACAACTTTTCCGCGAAAGCTGTGGGATAAGTGAGGTTGGTTGGGAACTTTTAGTAAATTCATTAGCAAATACAATTCTTTAACCTTTTCCATTCTGGGGGTTCACTTCTTTAATATTTTTGAACAAGCCCCAAATTTGTTTCATTTTTATGCTTCGCGTCCCCTTTTGTTTCAATTTCACTTCGAACTGTGCCCATATTTTTGCCCGACTCTATTTTGGTGGGTAGCCTAACCTATATTAAGAAATGGTTCTTTCTTTTATAAGATTTGTCTAAAAAGTTCTACATAAACTGTTCTTTAAAACCTTGGATATATTAAACTTTAAAGTTCAAATATAACCAATAACACGTTATTATCTTGAATTTTGTTAATAAATGCTTTAAGGGCACTCTTAAAAAATTACCGTGTTCGATAATAATTTTTTTCTATTATTGTGTAATTCATCACATTGAGCATCAAGGTTTGCATTCCCTACAAGAATATCAATATAAATAGTATATTAAAAATCCTTAAAAATTATACTTTTGCAGTTATTGTATTTAATAATATCTTCTCCCAGTAGATTAGAATTTGTCACATTAACTATTAATTACTACGTTTAATATAAAAATATTACTATAAGAAACATCATAACAATTCTTAAAAGAGTTCCTTAGTTATTAATTGGCAAAACTGCAAATTTGTTTTAGGAAATGAGATAGAAAGAGAATGAAATAATAATAATTATTATTATTATTGGATGAATAGAATAAAGTAATGATAAAATAGAAAAAATATTATTTAATTCGATTCATAAAATGAAATTGTTATTCGGATATTATTTTAATATTTAGTTAACAAAAATAGTTTTAGAATACTAAATGAATAAATAATAAAATAACATAATATTATTTATTATAATTTAATAAAATATTTGAGATTTTTGAAACTCATTATTTTTTTTCAATATATTGTAATTCATCACATTAATTGTTAATTACTGCATTTAGTATAAAAATATTACTATAAGTTAGAGTGCCTTAGGCACTCATCAGCAAAACCCTAATCCCTTCGTCATGACTTTGCTACTTCTAATAATAATAATAATAATAATAATAATAATAATAATATCCAAGTAAAATGACTGTAAAAACAGTAATATCCAATTTGTTTTGCATATAGTTAAGCTTAAATTCTCTGTTGATACATATTTCCAAAAACAAAATTGTAAAAACGTTCTTAAATTTTAGTGTTTTGATTAAGGAATGCTTCTATCTGATTATATAATTTTAAGTTGGATTAACAATACTGAGTTTCTAGACTATAAAGTTTTGAAATGAAACTTCTTTTTACGAGTTAAATTAAACTTTTGTGATGTAAACAATGTTTTTTATGTTCTTCAAATTTTGAATCATTTTACAATCTCTTTATATGAATATAAACTTTTTTTCACAAAAAGTTTTTACATTTAAATTTTTCATTTCAAAATTCAAATGTAACCATATTAACATATTGTAACGTCAAGAATAAAAATATCCAAAAATCGAGCTATGCATTTAGATCTACAAGTTTAGGTGGACAAATCGAGTTTAGGTAAGAATTTTTAAACTCGAGTTCAGCCTAGTTCTTACGTTATTATCGTATTAAAAATAATTATTTTTATTTATTATTGATTTTAAAATGTAAATATATTTAAATAATAAATATAATTTAAATAGACTAGCCAAATCAAGGCTTAAGTTTAAGTTTTAGAAGTGTCAATCGAGGCTGATATTCAATCCATCGGCACCTCTAACTAGGAAACAAATGTCGCTACTGTGAAAAATGTGAAGAAGTATAGCAGACTATGCAAGAATGCATGAAAAAATTCAATGGAAATATTTCAAATTTTACAATCAAACTCACAAAAGAAAAAACATAGTAATTTTTATCTATTTAAGTACCATGCAAAGAAATATACTAGTAATAACAAAGGTGATACCCTTCTTGTGAGTGTAGGATTGAGATCTTCTCTATTACTTTTTTTATCAGCTACATTTTAATATAGGTCGGACTTATGGATAATATGTATAGCAAATGATATATGTAGGACTCATAGATCATATATATTGTGAATTAAAACAAATATATAAATTATTTATTTAGAGTTATTATACAATACTATTATCCAATTAGATTACAATAACAGTAGTTAGAGTTATCATACAATTCTATTATCTAGTTAGAGTTATATGTATGGATTGAGATATGCTTTATTACTTTCTAGAGTTATTGTAATCTAACTAGATAATAATATTGTATGATAACATTAACTAAATAGTTTGCATAATTATCTTAACATTTGTGAATAGTAATAAAGGATGTATAAACAAATAATTAATGAAAATCTTTTTTTAAATGAAAAAATTGAAAAAAAAAAACAAAAAACAAGTCTCCAGGCCCATGGGAGGATAGATAACAAAACTTAGCATATTGACATCTTTATTGCGGGCATGACTAAGGGATATTTTCACCATTCATAAATTATTATGGCTAAAAGATATGGTAGATATCATGATACATGCACTCCTTAACATTTCTTCAAAAACCAAGAAGCAAATATGAAATATAACTAATATTTTTGTGTAATATTATTAATAAAAGTGTAAAATGATTATATATATATATATATTATGCCACCGGTTTAACAATAAATGACTTTAAACTCCATAAAGTTTGTTTACAAAATTCATTTACACCCTTACATTATAAAACACCACATCAAAATTTTGAATAAAATTCATTGATAGTATGTGACATTTTATAAATGTTTTATTTTTATCCCTGACCAAAAAACTTTACATTTATTATTTACTCTCTTTTCAAAATGTTAAAAAATTCCATCAAACCTCTAATCATCCATCCAAAAATTGATAGAATTATAGACAATTTAATAAGATGAAATGAAACATAATTTTTGTTTTCATATTATGGAGTATTTATAACAATTTTATTCGAACTTTGAATTACTTGAAATAGTTGAATATATAAAAACTCGAAGATGAAAACAATATATATATATAACAAAAATTAAAAATTTGAAAATATAAAAAACACAACAACATAATAATTAAAAGATAGCATTTCATTTACAATTATCTTAAACTATGACAATCTAATCACTATAAAAGGTTTTGTGAAAATCTACCATTTATCAGTTTTATCTTAATTATCATACACGATAATCAGTATTTAAAAATAAAATTCTGATATATCATACATACATATCTTGATTTAGCAACTTTACTTCAAATTTAAATACTTTCCACAATCATAATATTTATTGGATTTGCATGACACAATTAATATACAGTGAAATTCTAAGCAATTTTCTACTAACAATAACAATGGCTCTTAATAATTTAGGATTTCATTTTATATTCTAATAATTTAACATATAATCATCAAGATCCATGAAGATGGAATTAGAAAATTCTTAGGGAAACCACAATTTTAGATTTCCATTTAGTTCTTTTGAATTTAGGGATGATATCCTTACATTCAAATAGTAATATACTAAAATTAAAGTGAATTACGTAAATTTTGATTGATGAAGTAAAGGAATAAATAAAAAATCCATTTTAACCCACGAAATCTCAGTATTTTTCTTTTGATCGGTGGAATTTCAATAATTAATGTACAAATTAAGCAAACACCTTGAAAACATATATGTAATTATCACTCCTCGGTGACGTTGTAAAGGAAGAGTCAAGCATTAAAAATAGCGGTGCTTATAATTTCCTAGAACTTTCTCTTTTGGGTAGGTGTATTATTCTTAAAATTTAGTTTCGTAAGGAAGAAGCCTATGAAATTCGATTAAGGTGAGTCAACTCAGTTCCAGGAACTGCTTACTCAATAATCTAATTTATTATGTGTTAGTTGAGGACCCTTTGACCAAAGAACAGGTCGGGTCAATACCAGGTGCTTTCTTTCTTCGTATAAAAGTTTCAATTGTGCACCAGTGAGCTCCATGCAATTTTATTTACTAAGTTGGCCCTGTATTTCTTTGATCCTCATTCAATTAGTGTTAATATACGCAAAAACTTTAACTCAATGGGTCAAGTGTGAGCAACAAAAGAAATATTAAAGTCTTTAGCATAAGACCAAGGAGACGATGGAAAATTGAAATAATTATTATATGATCATATTCCAAACGTCTAATCAAAATAAAAGCTGTTAGGAGAATAATTTGCTTGGCTAAGGTGAGACCCCTGAAAAACCATTCCATTGCTAAGGTAAGCCCAAGTGTGGAGCAAACGTCATGCCAAGGGATAATAACAACAAAAAGCCTAGGCTGCCTGTCGAGGGGAAGATTTTTCAGGGTGGATAAAGGCTTTGATCCTGATTGGATCGGAGTTTTGTTGGCCCAAATAATTGTTTCTGGGTTTAAAGGATGGCACGATTCTCTCAAGAAGCATCAAGGGTTGCATCGCTTTGGAGTAAAAATCCAGCCCGGTTGCTTGGGCTTTCAATGCCTGGGATTTGCAATTTTTTGTGGTTGATGTTTTTAAGCCGAGTGCAAGGTGAAGCACCATGGCAATTGCCAAGGTTTACCTCTTGACTCTTGAGACCGTTGTCATCCCAGGACTCATTATTGTTGTAACATGGTATGCCAAAGTCAAAGGACAAGCAGATGGGTTAAATAATGACAATATTAAAGTAGGAAATTCATAGACCATTGCTTAGTATATGTGCAAAGAAGAGCAAACACCAGTTGCAGCAAGCAAGGAAGTGTTAAAATTTACGATAATTAATCAAATTACTAACATATTATCATTTTCAATGATAAAAGTAGTAGTAGACTGATATTATTGAGATACACAGGGAGCTGAATGTATGTTAGCAAATGTGAAGCTGGGAATACCATTCTAAGCTAAAACATGTTCCACGAGTATCAAACCCACCTGTCAACTTGTACATATATGATATATGTATACATATGTTATGTGTAGTAGTGCAATAAGAAAAAGAAAAGAACAAATCGAAGACAGATAAATGAAATTGAAACATTAAGGCAGGAAAGAGGTCAAGAAGTGTGGGCATTGTAAGGTCTCTCTCTTCCTATAGCACTTCTCCTCTCATGTCAGCTGCTGCAAAAGCAACATGCCACTGGGATCAAGTGGGCCCAAGATCAAAGAAGCAGAAAAATTTCGAAAGGACTCCATGGGGGGGAGAGAAAATTCTCTTCTTTAGGGGACCCCCCTTTCTCTTGTATTATCGTCATCTCATCACGACCCAAAGAAAGACCAAGAAAACTACTAAATCCAAGAATTTTCCAACAGTAAATGAATTTTGTCCTCTGCATGAATGAGAACATATGAATACAAAATTCATTCATCAGTTAAAAAATTTGTTTTTCATTAGGTTGCATGGGTAGTAGGGGGCGCATGTCATTGGCAATTTGGCATGCATGCACAACCATCAGTCTTTGATCAGTACGTTTGCATGCCATGTCATGCCAACCTATGCTTGCACAGATGCGCCCCTGCATCGAACATTGAGTTCCACTGAGCCCCAGCCTCCACAGCCAACGCGTGCATGCACGCGCAACCCCATTGATTTGAACCCGACTTGTGATCTTCAAAACCCCGCCTGTGGAAAACGCTTCCATGGAGAGCCACGTCAAGCATGAAGACCATAAACCGGTGTAGCTCGGGGCGAGTAACAAAGAAAGAGAGTGAGCGTAAGAAGGGTGACATCAGCTGGGGAGCATGCAATAGAGGGATATGAAATGAATCTATCGAGAGAGAGAGAGAGAGAGGTGCTTGTTTGATCATTAAACCATGCAATCTGCCTCCTCACTGCAAATTGGTCAGTGAGAAAAGAGTGACGTAAGTTGTCTGAATACCGTAACGCGTGCATTGGAAGCGTGTGATAGGGATTTTCCGAATTCAATGCTCCAAAAAGGCCACCTTTTGTTTTTTAACTCTCCCATTGGACTTTTCCTTTCCCACCCAATAGTTTTTCCTTCAGTACTAATCTGTCTCTCCATCTCTCTCCCTATTGTCTTATGGCGGCAGAGAGAAAAGAGCTCGTTTGCATCAGCAATCAGCAAAGGGATTGTGATGTGGAGCTGTAGAGGTGAGAAATTAAGATGATGGTAGAGACGCAGAGCTGTCAATCCGTTTCTGAAAGCTTCGTACAATATCGTCAATGGAAGAGAGGGAGGCGTCAGAGCCCCATCATTGTCTCAATTATCAGCGTGAAGGGGAAAGAGAAAGATGGAGAGATTGCATATATCTGTATATAAATATTTAACAAAGAGAGAAGAGAGAAAGCTTGAGACTTGGCATGGAATGGATGGTATTAACTTCATGTAGAGATGTGGACACAAAGTTTTGTGTTATGTACCGTACCTGGCGGTGTGGATACTGTCTGCTCAGGTGTGCCACAGTATAGTTAAGCTTTTGAAAACCCAATTGCGTGTGCATTGCCCCTTGTCATTGCAACTCACTTCGGTTTGTGTATTTTGTAAAAGACCTCAAATTTTCACTCTCCCTCTCTATATATATATGCAAGGAATACTCAACATATTTCCTTTCATATTGTACCTAATTATACATCAAGATTCTTATTTTATACTATGTTTGGTCATGACTTTGTTTTTAACAAGATTCGAATCATTACCAACTGTCTCGGGTGACCATATATCTTTGTCATCACACAAAAGGAGGTCCAGGCATGAAGCACTAAATGCCTAAAAATCTTATAATATCTTTGAAATTAAATTACAAACGTGATTAGATAGTTAATTAAATGCACAAGTAAAAGTAGAATAGGAGCATCGAATGGATTGAAGGGGTCAACCCTGGGGGTGAGAAAAGTCAAAAGATTTGTGGGTTAACTAGGGATGACAAAAGGGTGTCCGATCCAACTGAATTAACGCTTCTTATAGTGACAAAAACTGCCTTTGATGAGTAAATATTGAAGGTAAACCTTGCAAAAGGGAAAGGAATCCGTATGCTATTTTATTCAGTAGTATATCCACTTTTAGCAAAAGATCGAAAGAGCTATCAGGACTTGTTTTACTCTAAAAAGCTCTCAAACTGCGATTTCAATTAACAACCAACGGCTAGACGTCAGCCACATGGTAGCACAAGGAAACATAGGCCGCTATTCTGTCTTTATTTTGCTCAATATTAATTCACATTTTTTATTATTTTACATATTCACAGTAAAATTTTTAAAATTCTACAATTGACAAAACTCTATTCAAGTAACTACTTCAATTCAAGGATTTTCCTTATTAAGTGGATACATTCGTTCTTTTTAAATTTACATATGAAGCTTAAGAGCTTTAGGATTTGTGTGTAGGATAACTTTTCATAATTTAAATTATTTAAATTTATTTTTTAACAATTCAATAGACTACAAATGTAATTAACAACACCATAGGTTCCAATTTCTCAACCAACCTTTAATAATGAATTTGAGAGAATGACGGAGAGAAGTCTATTCTAAAGTTGAAGAGAAGGTGAGAATTCAATTTTTTTTTATTTATAATGTAATAGAAATAATATATTTATGTCAAAATAATGCATGAGGAGTTAAATGAAAAGTACAAATATGTTAGTGAGAAGTGAAAGATATATCTTGTCTCGGATTTTTCGATATTAGGGAAGGAAAAGATTTAGATATGGAAATTGGAATTGTACCACGAGGTACACTTCAATTAAATTATATCTCAACCACCCATCTAAACTATATCAATGAAAGCTATTTATGCTTTGGCAAGAAGCCGTTTGAAAAAGTTGCTTTGATGCAACCTTTTGACGACCCTAGTCAGAAAGGCCAAAAAATAGAAGAAAACCCTATGCTCAAAACAATCAATCTCAATAACTCCTAATAATGAAGGGCACTATCTAAACCCTAATGTTGTTAAAGGCTTAAAGCCATAGCAATAAAGTCGGTCGATCCTTGATGTTATTAATAAGGTATTTGTAGGTTCCTTTAGAGAGAGAAACTTTTGGCGCCTTTAACTTTCTTCGCATGCTTTTGGACATGCATGTTATTTAATACTTTGTTAGAATAGAAGACAATACAAACAAAAAAGGCTTTTTCCCTTTCTTTCCTTGCAAAGGACATTGTATGTGGACTTTGTTATTAATACTCACATATAGAATAGAATACACATAACAAATGGGCTTTCGAGTGTTTCTTGGCTTGGAACCTGTCGTACCGTGACTTTTTATCAAGGGAAGCACATGTCACGACTTTGATGTCCCTTCCAAACAATGTGTCCAAAGATAATTCTGTAATCCCATTTTCGAACCCTTTTTTTTTTTATAGAGATTTTGAGTAATCGAAATAAAATTAATTGATATTCATTTAATTAAACAAGTTTGTCCTAGGGCCCTCGAGTAAATGTTTGATGGGCCTTTCCATGGGAAGGGGTACAACGCTTTTTCCTTTTTCGATCTCTGCATCAGTACATGGGGGATAGGGTACCCAAGTCAGAGCACTATGATACGATTCAAAGACAATTTATTCAAAAAATTTTCAAAGTAAAGTACATTCTATTTATGAAATTATTTTGTACAAAGTTGACAAACTTACATTATCATAACAACTCTTAAGAGGTAAAGGATGGATGCAAACCCCCCACATACAAAATTGGTGCATTTACAAGATTTAAAAGAGGGGCTAAAAAACCCACAAAAGAAAAAAGTCATCCTCAGTAAATTCCCCATCTAATCGAAAGCTACCTTTTTTTTTTCTTTGGTTTTTGATTTCAGAGTGATCAGGTTTCCTTGAGCAGGATAACATGAGAATTACAACCGTTGTTGTTACAGTCTTTGATTGTCCTCCATTGTTCAGCAATGTCTCCAGCAATCTTAACGGCGTCAGAAGCCGTTCCTAGCAGCCCTCTTCTTGTAAACCCAACTGTGTACAATCCCTTCTCTCCTTTCCATCCGTTGGGAAACGGCGTTTTCGGCATGCCATCTTTGGTGAAAAAATCACATCCCTATATTTCCAATAAGGGCACAAAAAGGGGAGAGTTACTACTAGTAAAAACAGCATTAGCTAATCAATTGGTATTTGAATTGACGGAAAAAGAGCAGAAAAAAAAAACGGCAATTCAGGAAATTTCTAGGGATTTTCTAGGCAAATGAATCCTAAAAGAACACAATATTTCATGATAGTAACACATCATAAACCCCACACAGAATTTCAATTTTTCCCCCTAAACCCCAATAAAAGAAAACTGGGTTTTATTTGAAATTAGAAAAAAAAAAAAGGGAAAAAAAAAGTGGAATAGCCCCCAAAAATGAGGCTAACTGATTTTGTGCTTTTCTGCATGGAGAAAAGAAGGGATTTGTAGACTTGTGGCCTCAATGCATGAGTCCAAGGCAGAAAGTGATGTGTGATTCACAATAAGATAGAACTAAAAACTAAAGAAAATGCAACAGCTCTTTGTTTACCTTGAGCCAAGTAGGCACATTGCTTTTGTACCCAGTTGCCAGGATTATTGAATCAATCTCCTTTTCTTGTCCATCCATAAACTTTGCTCCATTTCTTGTTATCTCTTTCACACCTTCCACCACCTGAAAGAAAAAAAAACTCCAACAACATTAACTAAAACGCCTCAAGATAATGGGAAAATGTGATTGAACATGAGGGTCTACTTGGTTGGTTGGTGTTTACCTTAATTTTACCAGATTTTATCTGTGATAGTGCACCAACGTCGAGCACCGGAGTTTTTCCAGTGACATTCTTGAGCTCAATAGGACCGGTTTTTGGCCGCCGAAGACCTATTTGGTCTGTGTTGCCCAGGGTGAAGTTGGCTACCAGCAACAGGAATTTATCTACTAGCCTCAAAGGGAACCATCTGAGAAGTGCCATGGCTATACCAAATGTTGAGAAACCAAACATCTCCCTAGGCAAGACGTGCACCTGTAGTATTCAAACAGATAGGAGTATGAGCAACAATGAAAACGATGCGAAGTACATATTAAGATATTTTCAACAATGATTTTGATTAAAAAGTCAAAAGACAAGTTAAGGTGCGGATGCAACATTAAATGAACTCACCGTGTTTCTAACAACCATATGCGGGATCGCATTGTATCGACAGAGGTCCAAGCTAACTTCCATGCCAGAATTACCACATCCAATTACCAAAACCCTTTGGTTTCTAAACTCAGAACCAGACTTGTACAAACTGGTATGAACAACAGGACCGTTGAACTTGTCAATCCCCGAAATGTCGGGAATTACAGGCTCAGCATTTTCACCAGTGGCGACAATAAGCCACCTTGAAATGTACTCACAGTCTTGAGTTTTAACCCTCCAAAACCCCAAAACATGATCGAAGTCTGCGCTTTGCACAGCTTGCCTGAACCTAGGTTGGATTGAGAAATGTGAAGCATAGGACTCCATGTAAGAGATAAACTGGTGCTTGGTTGGGTACTTTGGGAAATTCTTAGGGAAACCAAGGAGTGGTAATTCGCAAAACTGTTTGGGAAGATGGAGTTTGAGACGATCATAGGTTCGATGTTGCCACAAGGAAGCTATGCAGTCGCTTTTCTCAAGAATAAGAGAAGGGACGCCTTGCTGAGTAAGGCAAGCAGATGTTGCTAGACCAGATGGTCCTGCACCTACAATGATAGGCCCATGAACCCAAACGCAGTTTGCTTGAAACTGATGATGGTCTTCTTGATCTTTACAAGAACCCATGTAGGACAATCCCAAGAAAAAGAGTGATAATGGAAAGAAGACGGAACGAAAAGGAAAAGGAAAGAAGAAAGGATAGTGAAAGAAAGCTTAAAAAGAAACAGAGAAAAACCTCAGTAGTTTCTTTTTACTTCCCCTGTTCTTTTCACTCTGTAAAGCTCTGTTTTCTTTCCCCTGTTTTCTCACTGCCCTTTTGCTTCTTGAGAGAAATCTCATGTGGATGAGGTGGGATTTTAAAGAGAGAGTAAAAGCGCTCAGGAGAGAGAGGGGGGAAAAGCAGGAGTCAATGGGAAGAGAAAAACAAGACGTAGGGTGATATAACTGAGGGTTTTTAATGCCGAGAAGAGAGTGAGAGACAGAGAGTGAAAAAAAAGAGAGATAGTAATAGGTTTTTATGAGAAGTGAGAGATGGAAAGAGAAAATGAGAGAAGTTAAAAAAACTGCAATTAATTTTACCAGTAAGAGAAAGAGAGAGAGAGAGAGAGAGAGAGGGAGAGGAAGGCGTTAATGGAGGCGTGAAGGTTAAGGAAAAGGATTTGTTCTGTTTCTCAAGGTTCTTTCTTCTCAGCTTCTCTCTGCAGAGTTCTTGGGGTTGCGATGCAAGTAAGCAAATGAGCAAAGAGAAGATATAAATACATTTATGAACGGCCTTTTAATTGTTTTAAGTTTAAAATTTGAGGAATACATAAACCACACTTCGTGCCATTTCTCACCCTATTAGCCTATTAGGGCTCATATGCCATAACGTTCAATTTTTATCTATTTATCCATTTAGTGTTGCTTTGCTCCTTGTTTATCTTCAATAAGATTTTCTTTCCTGAATAAATAAATAAATAAATAAATAATAGTTACAAAAAACAAACTTTTACTTAACTATTTTTTTTCTTTTTTCACTTTGTTTAAGAGTATCAGTATCATATATGGTTCAGGTTTATAGAACTCAAATTGGTCGACGACGTTAAGAAAACCCAGCAAACAACAATACTTGCCCATACACATGAATTAAATCATTTTCAACATTATATTTCTCCATGTTATCTTTCATTTTTTTAGGAACTTTAATGTAGGTAAAAAGTTATTTTCAACTTTATATTATGTAATTTGACTGCCACTTATCCCAAATTTATTTTAAATTTCTGTATATATATATATATATATTTATATGTGTGTGTGGAGAGAGGATTTTTTTTTATATTTGAGAAAGGGAATTCAAATTTTATCCTTTTTTATAGAAAAATCATACATCAATTAATAAATTAAATATTCAAATGTAAAAAAGTAAAAAGTTAAGAAAGACTCTGAGAGCGGTTTAATTTTTTTTAGTTTAAAAACTATTATAAAATTATTATGAAAATAATAACTTTTAAAATTAAGATAAAACTATTTGATAAGTTGTTTGATAAAATAAATTATATAAGTTTTAATTTTGATTAAAATTACCATAATGAGTATTCATGTTACATTCAATTACTTAACAAATCAAAGTGAAAACGAATCTATTTCGAATTTATATATGATTTCATATATTAAAAGTCAAAAAAATTTACAAATAATAGAATAATTTCAAATTTGTACAATAATAATAGTATTAGATTTTTTGGTGAAAAAAATACGTTTAAATAATACTTGCATATAACTTTAAATTTTGAGTTTTTTTTTCTCTTAAATTTTATAAGAATAAAAAAAACTTAAATTTTATTATTTTATTTTTAATTTTTTTTAATAATCTTTGTAAAGAGAGATGAAAAAAAAAAAAAAAGATTGTGATTTTATGCTGGAAAAGGACGATATGCAAAGAGAGTGAGGGAATAGAGAAGTTGATTGAGAGAAATGACTATTTTATAAAAAGCTGATGTATTTTTTTTTAAAGAAAATAGAAAGTTCCTTTCTTAAGTTTTTTTAATTTCTTTTTTAAATTTTGTTTTTTTTAATTATTATATTCAACAAACTTTCTCAAAAATCTTGTTTGACTTTATTTTTATTTTTAAAAAATAAATAAATTAAAAAAATCAAGTTAAATAGGCACCAAGTGAAAGAGCCACGTAATAATGCAGAGGACAAGAGTGCGGTCCACGAGCGTTTTGGAAGCGTCGGGTAACAGCAATTAAGAAAGTGTAGAGGGGTGGTTGGCAAGATGGGTTTAAGGCATGATGCCACGTGGAGGTTTACTAAGCATTGTATTTGTTGTTGCATGTTTGGAAACAGAAGGGATTAACCAAGAGCCGGAGAGAGCCGTCGGATCATTGACTTTCATTCCTTTTTCCACGTGGCATTTTCTATTTACTTGTTAAGACCGACTAGAAAAAGCATAGACGTGCGTTCTAACCCCATTTGAAATAAAATACCCGTAATTTTACAATTAAAACGAATACTCTAAAATCAGTTTCTTTATTTTGCAATAAAATATTTTTGAAAAAACGTTTTCAAAACTTATACTTTTTTGGAAGACGAAAAATTAATTTTAAATATAAAATATTTTACGAGTTAACAAAGTTAATTACGAAAAATGTCTTATATATTTTAAGGACGTAAGATATTTTTTCAAAGAACAACAAAAATATTTTTATATTAAGTTTATAAGTATAAGTTTGATGAATAATAATATTTAATTAAAATATTTAAAAATAAAATAAAAATATTTAATTTTAAAAAAATAATTTAAAATATTAATATATAAATTATACAAAACTATTAAAATTTAAAAATATTTTTTTAATAAAACTATTCAATACAATTAAATTTTTATTTATAAATAGAATAAATCTTACTAATAATTATAATAAAAAATATTTCAATGATCATCATTTGATGAATACATATTTATAATAAATTTAAACCTCACTAATAATTATAATAAGAAATATTTCAATGATCTTCGTTTAATGAATATATATTTATAAGTATAAGTTTTAGATATCTTACACAATTGATAAATATTTATGTTTTTATAGTTATGATAAAAGAGTGATAAGATGAAAACTGTTTCAAAAATTAGAGTTTATTTTCATTACATATATGTGGTTAAATACTTTGAGACACATTATTAATGATTTTATCTGTTTTCATTTTTATTCTTAATTTTGATCTCAAGTAAGTAAAAATCAAATATTAATATTATTTTATAATCAACCCTTATTTACTATTTTTAATATCTAAAAAACTTCACCAAGATAAAAAATATTTTTCATAAAGTGATCCAAATAATAAAAAATATTTTTAAAAGTTCATACAAACAACATAACTAATTAAATTTTTTTATAAAACATTTTACATAAAAAAATGCTCTAATAAAATATTTTTTAATTATCAAATAGATTAAAAAATAATATCCTTCATATTAGATTGCTGAATGGGGATTTTTGCACTGCCCTCTTTTCCCTCCCTATTGCACTTGATAACACGTGCTATTTTGCTTGCGATAAACAAGTTGTTCATTCCCCACTTTCCCTCATCAAATCTTTTTACTTGGGTGAAACCAGCAGAAGGTGAAAGAAGTTGGAGAGGTGGCTGTAAATGTGCGGCGTCGACTGTGTCCGGAAATTTTGCCTGACGAAACTTGCTAACGTAGTATGCGTAAAGCATATTGATGTGTCACTGTTTTCTTTCTTTCTTTCTTTTATCTACCAACTTGATGAACATGCACAGTGGCTTCTTGGTTGGTGGCTGATGACGTAGGGCTAATTGGCAAAGGCTGTTTGCTTTTCTCTGTGGTCGAGTACTAACGGCAGCCAAGGGCGGAATTAAATAAGGGAATGAAATCATTGTTTTTTTTTTTTGCTAAGCATGCAATGAAATCATTGCATTCGATTTCTTTTACTAGAATATCTATAATCATGAGCGATGAGCACGAATATTAATCTTATTTGAACTAGCTCGTTCACTCTTCTTATCTTAATTATTTCAAATTCAAACTTGAGAGAGCTTACACTGCTTTTAGACATAATTCGGATCCCAATTGAAATTTAGGATGCAGGGTTTTGCTAGTTTTCATTTATTTATTATCAACCTTAGCTACTACCCATGCATGTAAATAGAATAAGGTACATAGTGCTCATAATTCATAAAACTCTTTTATGAACAACGAACTTGTTTACATATTTCTTTTGTAGCTAGCTAGCTAGGACTTTGTTTAATTAGTTTGTGTTGCAAAGCGTGATTCGAAATGGTAGTAATTAAATGCAAAGTTTGATTAGGCGCAGGAAAAGTCTAATCTCCAAATCCTTGCAAGAAAATACATAGCATGGAGTTGTCGGACAAGAAGTAGGAGTAAAAGGATAAATGAAGATGTGAAACAAACGTCAATGAATCATAATGCTTGGACACGGGGATCTAGGGGAATTTAAATTGACCGAATATTTATAAAGAACGAAGAGGAGAAAATCTAGGGTATAATGAAAGCGGAGTACATATATATATCTAGGGTTAGGATCTTCAAGGAATATATGCTTATAAGTTGGAGCCCACATTGCTGCTGCCTGCTGTGACTAGGATCTTCCATGCCGTATACAATTGGCGTCTGGTGCATCATCAATTGGTATAATTGGTCATACTGTTACACAACTTGCATGCTATGTACATCCTGTCTTTCAAGCAAAAAAACGTGTCTTGATCAATAAAATAAAGCCCGAATAATCTCTGCTTTTTCTCCAAAATATTGATGAAAAATGATTTATTCAAAAACCTTTTTCTAAACAGGTGTTGCAGATAAGTCACGAGTCAACCCATTGATTAAAGAAACTACATATATATATATATATATATATATATATATCCTTAGTAAAGGAGAGATATTAAAATAACAACTAAAAATAGGTGGGTGGAGATTGAGCAACAACTCTATATATATAGATATGTGCACAGTTTGGCTTAGCTAGGGTTAATTAATACATAGTTAAAATAACCCTTTGGATTGATTCTGTAATTGAGTTGTGGTGCATGCTTGAAGTACCCAAAATCAAAAATATTGGACCAACCTAAACCTAGCCCCATCCATTCCATTGCCGCCCCCCTACTCTTATTTAACTTTATTTGAATTGGTTTTCAAGCATCGAATCCTCCCCCTAGACGCAAAGATGATCAGTTTTCTTCTAGAGAAATGTTATCATCCATACATTGATTCAAATTAGTATTATAATAAAAAGATGTGTACTTTTGTTAGAATTTTTTTCAATGACTACAAATTTTCTTACCTGAGATTGCAATGATGATCTCCAAATGTTGGTAGTTAGTCGCATTAACACGATATTAATAGAAATTCAAGCATATGATATCCAGTAGTTGGACCTATTCATAAAGTGATTTAGGT